AGGCATTCAAGTAAATATGTAACTGATGAAAATGTGGAACCACCGAAATTTTTCAAGTGGGGTGGCAGTCTGCTCTCCAGGAACCAGTGTGTGCTGGGAACCGGCTTTTAAGCCCGCTCCCCACACATACCTGGAGCTTGTGTGTAACCCTAGTTTATATGAGCATTTAACTCCTTTTGTGGATCTTAATAGGAGGAGCCCAATTTGTTCCAAATGCCAAAGGAAGTTAAACCAGTTTGCACCAACAGATTTGCACACTATCTATCCAAATGCAGTGCGGTAAAGAGATGCCACGTGAGCTCCCAGATCTCCTGCTGCTTGAGACGTAAAGGAGAGGAGGACCAAAGGGCTTTCTTGTGCTACCTTTGGCCATGGAGATACTTGCCAGCACGTGCCACTTCTTCAACTGAAGGTGCAATAAATAGGGAATCGCAGAACACTGCCAAAGCAGAAGGCATCAACCAACTTCAAATACCAAAAAAAGTCAATAGCAGATACTGAAGCAAAGGACCAGCAAGTGATGTGGTTCTACGCTCTGGGGAGCACAGGGGACAAACATCGGAAAGTGGGAACCTGGGACTGAGCGTGGGGGATGGTGGAACAGACACAGAATTCCAACCTCTGACTTGGCAGGGCTCTGGAGAGTACCAACTTGCTGGCATCCTATTTGGCTCCCGAAAGGAGGAGGGAGGTGGAAACGGTAGCTGAAGTTACAGAATACACTGGAACTGGTCCCACTGCTCTGCTGTCTGAGCTTACAATGATCGGCCCCAACTTCCATTCCCAAAGGGGCAAGGTTGGGGGGGAGGGGGAAGAAAGGGGTCAGCAGTTAGAAAGGAGTATCATTTCCTTTGTGTAAGTCAGGTAAACTGAGGCAGAGAATAAGACTGCTCCCTAGAGTAAGTAATGGCAGATGTACACGGCAGATGGGCGCAGCTCAAGGAACAAGGCCCTACACTGGTAGTTTTCAGCCTTTTTTCATCTGAATGAAGATGCAGACCACTTTTGGAAATCAACAAACCTCTGGAGAGATACAGACTACAGACCCCAGGTTGAAAACTACTATCCCCAAATAAAGCTCTTTAGGTTCCTAATTCCAAATTATTTCAATTGGAATTATGCTTCAGACTTAAGTGAAATGCACCCTGACATGCTGCATGTCCTCAAGCAAGTTAGACAAGAAACAAGTTGTCAGACTTCCAGGTGGCAAAACCTCCAGAATACCTTGTTTCTGCCACTTCTAGTGAGAGGTATCAAGGAACCCCGTCAATTCATCTCTGTAGAGATTTTTTTTTTTTTAAATCACAAAGGAGCTATGTCAATTCATCTCTGTAGATATTTTTTTTTTTAAATCACAAAGGAGCTTTAATTGGGTCCTTACAATAGGGCCCTTTTCCAGTGGTCAGAACATACAAGCTGCAGCTGTTTAAGTGAACATGGATAATGCAGGCACATCCAACACCTAAGAAATTAAGGTGACAACAATGATTGTGCCAGACTGCTCGTGTTTGTCCTTTTATGTTGATAAAGGCTCTCAGGCAAGGCTCTGACAACATCTCAGTTGCAGCTTTTTTTGAAGCCAAGCAGATCAAAATTGGGGATGTCTGTGTGAAGTTGACTAAATGATTAACTGATAAGCCTGTAGCAGAGGCAGTGGGCGGGGTGCGAGAGGGGAAGCTGGTATGCCTCCCTCTCCCTCCATGCTGCTGCCTCAGACAGAGAATCAGCAGCAGCATAGAGGGTTAACAGGCAGGAGTCGATACACGCAAGGAGCCGGCTTTCAAGCAGGCCCCCTACATATGCTGTCTCCACGGACCTGCCTGGCCCCTGCCTTGTCTCCTACAGAGGTAGGAAAGTCTACCATGGCAGCAGCCCCTGTCTACAGAAGGTGGGGTGAGCTCCCCTGGACAGGGGCTGCTGACACCCTGTGCAGCTGCTTTTATCAGAGCACACTAGTTGCCGGTCTGACTCCGGAGACTAACTGAATAGTTGTGTAATCCCATCAAATTTTAGCAGTTACACGCTACCCAACATCCCTTATCAAAACCTGGGTTTTGTAAGACAAGCTTGCATACAAGAAAGCTCAAAAGAAAGGGTCTTTGTTTATGATCAGCATTTCCATTGCTCAGTAATCATCAAGCTTTTGAAAGATTTGCAACTGAAACACCACAGCATTGGGTTAGGGTACGAGAAGCACCAAGAAAAAAAAATTCCCTCCAGTATATCTACAAGAAACAGTGTAAAATAATAGGGGAAAAAAACCCAAAAAAGCCACCCAGTAAGTTGGATAGGTCATAATCTTAAAAAAAAAATTAAAACCTGGAATTTTAACCTGAGAGTGGGCCTTTTGGAGAGTGGGAAAGGAGAGAAACTAAAACGAAAGAGCCCAGCACGCCCTGAAGCCCCTTAATATTTGCCAGGTACATTGATGTTTTCAGGTTTCTAGAAAACAGTTACAAGATAAATCTGTATCCTATCATCATTGAAGGATGAAGACACAGGTCAGCAAGCTAGGAATGCAAGGTCTGAATCCTGACTAATACTAAGGAGGGAGGGAAAGCCAAGGCTATGGAGAAAGGGAGAATGTGGGTTACTAACCTACTTTCTAAAGTGATAAGATCATTGACTGACCCACTTAAAAAAGTCAGACTTAATATTAGTGATATGAAATGTTAACCAGTAAGCATCACCCTTAATGGATGATACTTTCCAGTTCTGGTTGGGGGAGGGAGGTGTGGCTGAAACAGCTTCCCACCCACTATGGATATGGGGTTGCTCCTACTCAACAGGGCCTGCTGCAGACAGGGGCTGCTCCAGCCACACTGGAGGAGTCCCCCCCTTAATTGGTTAATTGATTAAACTTCACATTTAGCCAGTTAACTTGTTGGAATTCCTCATGGAATTTTACATCCCTATTTAATATTGTTGCAAAAAGGGGGCACAGAGAGGTGTCAAATGTAATAAGCCTCCAATGGAAAGGACGGTCAGATACAATATAATCCAGCTAGTTCCTGACAAGGGCTGGAACAATAAAAGACTGCCACACGTGGGCTAGGATTCAGGACAGCCAGCCCCTCACTGGTTCCAGATGACATACTGCTTCATTCCCTAGCGGGGATTCTAAAGAGTTCTGCCGTTCTAGGCCTGTGCAGGCAACAGGCTCGCAGTTTCACATGGCACTCTTAGCGAGTCCATAGGAAAGCAGAGCCAGATGACAGCAGCCCATTAGCGTATTAGCTTACTGCAGGAGCGCAACATAAATCATTCATGATTTAATTGACCGATCACTCCAAGCAACGCGATTCTCCGAGAGGGGTGTGACCTTTACTCCCATGGGCTCGGTACAGTGGGTAGGGAACTGCCATAATACCACTTGAAACAAAAAGGCCACACCCAAACCAGCATTTCCAGAAGTGGCTATTGATTTGAGGTGCCCAGTCTGAGATACAATACACTCAATATTTTCAGAAGTCAATGGAAGCGGCTGCTGGCCACAGTAAGTTTAGGGCAAACCAAGCTGAGTATAGGGCATGTTTGAAAATTTGTCCAGAAAAAGATATAAAAGTTA